TACGTAGGATCTGCAGGACTTTTCATGTGGGGAAACTAACTGGGCCAAGTGCAAGAGAAAAAAGATGCAAGTACAGGAAGGGGAGTAAATAATGCCCTTGTCTTTAATACTAGGATTTTAGAGGATTTAATACTTGGTAACTGTTGTGAGAAAAGAATATATACATGTATATATGCACACGTATATGCGTATACACAGATATCTATTCTGTCTGAAATGGGAATTTCTTTTAAGATTGTATTGCCTACGCTCTAAAGCTTCATGCCCAAACTGGGAACAGTTCTGCTGTAGCAGAGGAACAGCTGTGACAAACAGGCATCTCACCTAATCGTACGGGTCTGGAACTAGGTTTAAGTCCTCATTACTAGTCTGTGTACGGCCCAAGGGCCACGTGTGCTTGTCGTAGTCTCCTATGATGGCTGGGTATCCTGTTTCTAACAGCCCTGCCCCAGTGCTGCATTAAAGCCGTGTACCCTTGAGGACTGAATCCACTGTGTTCTGTCAGAGAGCTTCATGCTCCTTTTCATACTTGTGGGATTGATGAAATGCAATCACCTAGTCCTGTTGCTGTTAAATGACTCTCCCCATCGCTGTGGGGTCCTGAGCTGTTTTAAAGCTGTGTCTGTAGCACAGGTGAGATCATGGCACTAGCCTGGTTAAGGCATGGGTGAGACTATGCCTGTAGTGTGGAGGTCAAGTCAGCAGTCTGAGGTGAGAGAGGTCTCCTTTCTCTACCCCAAAGTAATCTTTCTGAAGGCACATAGGTTCTGTAGCATTTCTCTCTAAAAGTGCAACCAAGCTCTCCCTTTGGATGCTAATCCTAATTGTGGACTATCCTTTCAAAACCTTTCTCAAAATGCGTGCAGAATTGAACTCAAATCCTAACAGCTTGTTGTACATCGTTAGCTTAAATGACAACTACTGGTTTGTTTGTCTGTCTTTTCAAAAAGAACGCAAGTGCTGCAAAATTCTTCCTGCAAGGTGTCAACATAAGCACGACTCTGCCTTCTGAAGCAAAAGGTAGGGACTTCTAAGAAGTCTACTTTCAGTGACTACTTCTGTAAATATTAAGAGTTGCCTGCATTAAATAACACTAGAAGTGTTGGGGATGAAAAAATGTATCAAATTAAAGCTCTATGAGCTTACAGCTCCCGCCCTTCAGGATTCTGTAATAATACTTTCTCTTACACAGTTCCAAAGTTTGAAGCATCAAACAACAGCATGAGTGAGCTGAGAGCTACAGTAGGAAACTCCTACAAGTGCAGCATGGAGGAGAACCTCCCGGTCACAGATAATGCCCTTGTCAATGTATTTAATGTTCAGATCCAGGTTTTCAAGATTGATGGAGACAAATTTGGGGCAGGTAAGAAGTTTACATATCGAGGGGAACCTAAGATTTGTGAAGTGCACTTTGACATAAACGTAATATTCGGTAGTCAGATGTCAGCTTGTGGGTGCTGTGTGTTGTCTCTGCGTGCCCTATTACAGATGATGTGGGGGCTGATAAGATGTCTGAGTTGAGGCTAGTGTGAGAAGTATGGTAAAAAGCTTTGAAATAACTATGACTTTTGTGGTCCAGAGATGAGTTAAGGAAGACCGTTAACTTTTTCTATGCAGACAGTTGTATGAAAGGGGCAAAGTTGTGGGAGGTTCCTGACTCTTCTCGTTAACTTTGTCCTTTGTGACTGTGGTTAAAGGAAAATGTGTAGGGGAGGAGTCGCACGGATACATTTACAATGGCTAAGCTTTGTGCATACCAGCAGTAACAGCTCTTGAGAAGGAAACAGCTATTGTAAATTTCTATATGGTGCATACAACTAGCACTAGAAGGACTTCATCCTGAATGATCGTAGCTAGTGGACTTGGCGTCCTTTTGATTGTTGGCAAGCTAAGCTAGAAGTTAACTTGAGCCAGTCTTACCTATGTGCTGAGAGCAGAAGCTCGAGTTGTGGATGTAGCGGTCTGTTGGTGCACTAGTGCCTAATGTGGGTCGTCTTCTCTCTTTGCAGTGGAAGAATGTCAACTGGATGAAAACAACATGCTGATCCCTATAATAGTTGGTGCAGCCCTTGCTGGTCTTGTTCTCATTGTCTTGATTGCTTACTTGATCGGCAGAAAGAGGAGCCATGCTGGATATCAAACAATTTAATAACTTGCACTAAAACCCAGTGTAGATGAAAAGCAATTGCAAGAAGCTGGGAAAAAAAAAAACAACAAAAAACCAACAAAACCCACACATTTCCCCTGAGCTAAGATTGATATTGTAAGGGAACACCTTTTCTTGCAAATTGCTGCTTCTTAAAGTCTGCTTTATTAAATGTGAAATCATCTTGCAGCATTTAACTATGCACAAAAGTAACTTCTGAAAATTCTGGTGTTTAATTTTGCTAACTAGTTTAAATATTTACCCACTTAGAAACAAGCTAAAAGTTTTTAAGGGTGCTTTTTTGGAATTGGCACAAGGTAATGTCAGCTAAAGATTCCAGAGAGGGATGTTGCTAATTCACACTGACTCAATTTCAGAACTCTTAACAAAGGGAAAAGGCTCATTCTCTGTACAGCTGCCATCCAATGATGATGTTAATTATACTGATGATGCATTTAAAGAAATATAGTAAGAACTGACAAAATTGAAATTTAAAATCTAAACTCCACCTTGTCTTTTAGGTGTGTATTTTTTACTAAGTAAGCTTTAAACTCAATGCCTGGCATATGCAGGGTGTGAACAACGCAATACTCAAAACCTTACAGGAACTCTTTATGATTGGACAACTCCCCTGTTTGATATTTTTGATGCTCTGCCAGCTCGTTAGGAGCTGGTACTTTTTTAAAATGAGTGTTACTTTTATTTACCTTTTTTGTAAAGTGATTTCAGTCTCTTCTGTTGGAAGGTCCGGAGAGATCCTGTTACTGCACATGTGTACAATATAGATCTCAATCTGCTGATTCTCTTGCTTTAAACTTGGCTGGGGGGTTGTACACTTCAAGGATCAGTTCTTATGTATGCATTGCCTGTAACAATGCTAATAAAGACACTTTTTTTCTGTATATTGTAGTGTTGCTGATCACTCTTCAAAACATTTGACCACTTGGTAAGTGCTAAAGTCTTGGTTTGGCTCTAAGTTGGAAGCTTTAAACAATCCTTAGTGTGGAGTTATCTTAAACAAGTGTTTAAGTTTTTTCTCTGTGGCACAAAGGTGAGGCTTAACTGTATGTGTCTTCACAACAGTCCTGGGTTTTGGACTTTGTGCTTGGAAACAGGTGCTGCATATCAGTAACTGGAGATCTGGAGATGTTAACTCTTCCATTAAATTGCTGCTTGCTGAGAAATGTCAGTGTATTGGTCTGCTCTGCTAAGCATAGTTTTCTGAAATTGCTGGTAACATACTTGCTGTAAGGACTGTATGAATGACATTTTAGGTTTTATTTTGAAGTTGGATTCCTACCACAGAGTAGGAAACACATGTCTGCTGAGATCTGTGTGTTGTAATGTGCTTGGAAAGGAAGCTTTGTGTTTAAAGCTTCCCTGCCTCCCTCCTGCAGTGATGTTTTGATGTTAACGTACCACTACACAGGGCAGCAAGCAGGGCACACTGAAACATTGCACAGAATGCTGTTCTTCTGACAGGGAGAAATGAACACATGGCAGTAAGGCTGGCAGACTTTGAACCATCTGCCTGCTACCCTGAATGTACCTGGGAACTATGGATTTTGCCAGTGGTGGATAAATTAGTATTTCCTAATACCTGCTGGTGTACTAGAAGTATGTACTGCTACTGTCCTCCTGATTCGGTACTCAAGGGAAAAGGTACCTGTCTGGTACCATAAAGGATGGGATAGCTTGGAATCATACTATTGAATAGCTGTCTTTACTTGTCTAGAAGAGCACTCATCCACTTCCCCAAAAACCCAAACCACTCTTCAGAGGGTTTTCTTTTTTCCCTGCTAAGGAATGAAAGAACCTCAAACTGCAGGAAGGGGGGGGAGATAAGACTTACCTTGACAAGGAAAGAAGAGAGCTTAGAATCAAGTCTGAAAAGAAGTGTGGTTTTAAAAGGTGAGGCTTTCCACAGAAGCTGTTAACAGGGAGAATAAAAAGCACAAATTGCTGGCCTCTCTTCAGGTTTCCCTCCCCGCAGGAAGGCAAGGGAAAGGATTTGGCCACGAGAGGGCCCTGTACGGACAGCAACGCAATTCCACAGGCACCTGGCCCCCACAGGGCTGGCAGTGGCCCAAGGGCCAGGGGCAGGGCTGCTGCTCTGCTTGTTTCTGCCCCGGGGTAGGATATTTACACGTGCACGAAGGTACAGCTTTGGAACTGCCCCATGTCTCCCCCTGTCAAGGGAGAAGTCTGTGGCCATCTTTACAAGTGTTTCTCCCTAAATTTTTATGGACACAGGTGTATAAGGATATAGCACCTGCAGTGTGACCTCAGTACATCAGCACAAAGTAGGAGTACAGCATCTACTCTCAGCATCCCTTACAACAGTGAGAAATGCTACTTCTAGATTTAAGTCAAATTACTTGTCAGCTACTGTGCTAGAGCTAGAAAACCCTAAATAAGCATATAAAATATTGAGTGGTTATAGAGGGATTTTTGCTACTTTCTGTAGCCTGGACTTGCACATATTCCTTGCTGCCTTTAGCTGAAGAGCTGTTATATGCTGCATACAGTAACCATTAGTGAAGATAAAGATCATCTTCCTCATTGCTGTCTCTTGTTCTGCACTTTGCTGTATTTGAGTTCCTTACGTGACAGCAGTGAGAAAAAAAGGAAGATGCTTGTATTCTAGTCAAGTAGTTGCAGTCAGGAAAGAAACGTTACTCTCATCACACCAAGAAACAGGTTCTGACAAATTAAATTAATTTATTTTGTACAAATGCTAGTGGTGTTATAATTAATACAGTAGGAAGAATATGCAATTTTTATACACCTGTTTTCTTTTAACATTACAAAATGCCCTGAAAAGACAAGGGCAGTTACTGCTTTTTTTAAAAGGAGTGTCCTGACACTGATCACATTCTACTCTGAAAACACTTTAATCCTTTAAAAACAAACAAAAAAAAAACCCCAGAACCACCAGTTCTAGTTACACCATCTGACATACAGTACGAAGTGTTAACAACACTTACTTGAAAGGCAGGAAAAATTGGTCGTGTCAGTTAACTCATGGAAAGCTTAAAGTGTGCTTTAGTCAGTGCAAAGAGAGGAATGTGTCAATTGCTATAGTATCTGACCACCTCATAAAATCTGGTGAGTTATCCCTGAGAAAGCAGCTTCTCTCTGCAAGTCTCTCGGAGTTTGTTGATTGTTGCCATGGACAAGCTTCCAGGGTCTGTGAATATTTTCTGGGGGCAAAAGAAAATTCTTAGTTTAAATTCTGGCTTTGGACAACATGCTGGAATTCTTACATAATTTTTTGGATATCCGTACTGTGAAAACAGCTTACTGCTGTTTAGCTTCCTTGTAACTGGGTAGAATCTCCATCTGCTCTGCTGTAAAGACATGGTAAACCTCCAGCTTGTAACAAGTTACACAAAAGCAGCAGTACAAAAGCCAGCTTGAACATAAGTGTCCAGTTAAAATTACTTTAGAAAGCATTTGTGTTGGTGGATTGCAGGTATACTTAGAACTTACTAAGCTATCCTGTGTCATACTGCAAAGCACCAGTGCCCAGGTTGTTCAGGCTCTGGAACATGTACATACAAACAAGAGCATGTTCCTACTGGGGAAAAAAAAAAAATCAGTCTTAATCCCTTGCTATGCTACCTTTGCGCTTCTCTACTGAGCTTTCCAGAGTAGCAATGTATGTGGATGAAGGATTTGAGGCATTTTGAATGCTGTCACACATCCGTATTATTTTCTTGCTTTGACTTGTTGCTCAAGAACAATATGTTTGTTGTCGCTACGTCATCTAAAACTTCTGACTGAACAAAACTATGAAGCAAGCTGCAAGTTTATGCACTTCGATCTCCGGTTAAGGTGTGTGGGCCCCTCAGTTCTCGGTAGTTGTAACTGCCAGCTGCAGAGATGAGATTAGAATTGAGCCAGTTTTGAACAGTGTTCTGCTAAACAAGTCTGCATTGCACTAAACTAAGATTTTTGTTTGGGAGAGCGGGGCATAAAATACTCAACTGTCATCACTTCCATTGGTACCACTGTCTGCACTGCTGGAGGGAAAAAAAAAGCCAAAACACAAAACCAAACCCAAAAGTATGTGTTTCAAAGTTACCTAAGAACTTAACCTAACTTAACCTAAATTGTTCATTTAATTGCCTTGAAAGCCTCCTCACTACAGTATCCAACACAGTTAAAATAAATTTTTTATTCAGAATAACTGCAAGTCTTTTGAGGACTACTGTTTTTATCAGCCTCTGAACTAGTATTCTCATGGCAGTTAACAATTAACGAAACTCTTATTCTAAACCCTTTATGGAATGGAAAAAACCCTCAAACATCTCCCTTGTAAATTAAGCTGTACCTGTGATTTATTTTTCCCTTGCTCCTTTAATTAAAAGGCTTACAAACACTAGTAAGTTAAGCTTATTTTTCTTCTGTATAAGCAAAGATGAAGCAACATAAACGACACCCTACTGTCATAGACCTATGCACAGAGCTCTGACACAAGTACAAAACTTATTGGGAATAAGTAAGTCATCTACTGGGATGTAGTTTTCTACACACTTGGCAAACAATGATAGCCGAGTTGGCCAAGGGATTTATGACACGTGCTCCTGTTTGGGTGTTGGGGGTTTTTTTTGCAAGCATGTCTCTCACATTTCTGTCTTCTGAGTTAAGCTCCGAATCTATTTTTTTTTTGTACGAATTTGGCATCAAATCTATTAATAATTTACAAGAATAATTCTTAGTTTGCAGGTTGTCATAAGGCTTGAGCACTCACTTCATGGATTTTGTCTGGAAAAAAGAACTTGGTGCTACCTTTTGATTCTTTGACTGAACATAATGCTTTATATTCTGGCACTGTGAAGTTTATCAATGCAAGTTTAAAATTCCCTTTGTATCTATTCTACAATATTCTATTACAATTTATCTGGAAAAAGCACAGGAACACAATGCATAGTTCACTGAAAGAATGCACTAAAGTTATTTTCTCATCAGACTTCCTGCCTTAACTGGTAAAAAGGGTAAAAAGAATTTTTTCCTGTACAACAGATAACAGGAATGGCTTACTATATTTGGATTTAGATGATAATTCTTTAAAAGGTTTGCATTTCTTATATAAAAACAGCCTTCATCCTTTTGGCAATTCCTACAGATAACGTTTCTCCTAACTGTATCCATCTTTTTGACTGAGGAAAACGTTTCTAAGCCAGTCTTGGTTTTAATTTATAAAAACTGAAAGCTGCAGAAAATTTACCTGCATGAAGCTGTGACACTCCGTTACAAGTGTTCCTTTGGTGATCTGCTTAAATTTATCACAAATGTCAGGGAAATTCGTGGCTTCCAAAATAAAAGCTTGGTGTTGCTTAATTAACGTTAAGGCCACGCGGAAGATGATCTTTGAGCCCTCATAGAATAAACAATCCCATATTCGGAGCACAGTCTGCAGGAAAGGAGAGAATTTGCATTACAGCTTCTTGATTTCCAGTAGGCAATTATCTCTAAAGCACTACAAATGAAATAATGATTCTGAGCGTATAGTAAGAGAACTTTATGTTAGTGATTACCTCTACTGGAAGAATGTCAATGAACAAGCATATAAACCAGCGTGACACCACTAGGGTCCAAATGACTCCATGTCTTTCCATCAGCTCTGCCACAGCTGGAACTTTCATTTTCACAAGTTCTCCAAGAACTTCCTGATCAGTTTTCAGGCCCAACATTGCAGGACTGTAATAATCTTGGAGAGAAGAAACCAAAATTCAGGAATCTGTGGACATAATTCTTCCACAAAATTGGAAGAGCATGTCCTGTACAACTGAGAACATGAAGGCATGTTGAGCCTATGACTCCTAAGCTGAAATAAATTAAACCATGCAGTGAAGATGCCTGCATTGTGGTGTACTTCTCTTTCTGCCAAGGCTGATCCCTCTACACAAACACTTCATTGATGGCTACTAAAGTATCTTCTTTCTCTCTGATGTTTTGTGGCAATTCATTCTTCTTTCCCAAGGAAGGATAATCTAGGTAGTTTTTAACTACTAGCGTAAGCTACAAAAGCCTTAGTAATATTTAAACAGTTCAATATAACCGCCACCTCCTTCCCATGTGTGGAGAATGCACACCTCTCAGTCCACACAATACCAAGACAGGTAACAAAAACCACCCCCACATGATCCCTAACCTTTAGACTGGGTCATCACACACTAGAAACAAGAATTTCGGAGAATGTCAGCTACGCAGGCATGCTGGAGGCCACGTACCGCTTCTAGGCTATGACTTAGCCGTTAAGGTAAGAGTTTCCCTCTCTTTTCTCTGAGCCAAGGAAATCCCACTTTTCACAGAATAATTCCAAAAGGAAGTGAAGGACAGGCAACATCTCTTACTACTTACTTTATTTTGAGACAGAGGTTGAAATGAGACCTACATCTCCTACACTGCTGATCACTGCACTCAACCATGAAATCCCAAATTAAGAAAAACAGAGCACACTACAACTGTTACTCCACAGCCTGTTTGACAGGGTAAGCATTTTCATTGCCGAGGTGCAGGCTGAATAATGAGCATCTCAGTTCTATGAACAAGTAGTTCTACGTACACATAAGGCAAGAAAAGGATAATAGTTCATAAGGAGTTCAGATAGCCCAACAAGGGACAAGAGTTACACAGATCTTTAAGGAATTTATATTTTGGGTTTAGATGTTGACAGAAACATTTCAGCTAGACTGGATGGCTCCAGCCTTGGTGCTTTGCTGAGAAGACCTATGTTACTAACATTATTTACTGAAAGAAGTAACTGGTAACACAAGCACCTTTCTATCCGTGTCTTTCCTTTGCCAATTCTGAAAAGCTGCAATTCAGGTTTCTCTGATTTAGCTGGTTTCTGCCAAGGTTCCCAGGCACACACAGCATAGACCAATGGTTCACATGAAGGTGAAGGAATCAGAAAGAGCAAAGTCCATTTGTCTGAAATAATTTTAATAAAAACTCCCAGTGCCACAAATGAGTTTTAAGAAAATGTCCAAATTATGCAGTACATTTATAACCACTTTAATGTCTCTAATGAAATCACAAGAGCAGTTTAAGATTCCACTCTTTGCTGCGTCAATGATTTTCTTGAACAGACTTCACCCCAGGAGCTGTCTGCTCTCCATTTGTCCAAACTGCAGAACATCTACAGGAGTTTTTATGGTTCTAAGGAGCATCACATTCCACCTTTAGGAATCTAGCTTTTTGTCTGTGCTCCTTATTTACTTTGTTCCTATTGAAGAACGACAGGTAAAACTCCTCTAAAGACATATGGAGTCACTGCCACTATATACATTCCTTTAACCATTTGCCTTTCAATTG